CCGCCAATGATGGAGAATCAAATGGAAAAGAAAATGGAAAATGGCATGGAAACTGAGTTTCTTCTACAGGGGCTCATGGCAGAAGACTGTTAAAGGTGACACTCATTTCAAGGGCAACTCAAGCAACACACCACATGCTCAAAATCCCTAAGACCTAAACCCTAAAACCCTAAACCCTAAACCCTAAAACTCTAAACCCTACGTAAACCCTAATGTGGTCCCAGGAGCCCTGGATCCTAAGACCTGCCTGAAAGCTTTTGCACTCCAAACTGACGAAAAGCACACTGTAGACGGGATTTATCAACCCCTTCCTTTTCAGGGCCTGTAATATTAGGATCATTTTTATAATCCCTATCGAGGGGAGGGGGTTTATAAATCGTGGGTCTACATTAGAATATAAAGCCTCAAAAGCAATGCTGCATCCCCAAACCCCCAAACCCCGCAATCCGGGTACTAGCTCTGGCCGGCCTGCAGCTTGTTCTTGGCTATGACGGCATGGTCGTGGCGGTTGAAGACGACATACTGCGCCAATGCATGAGGTGGCTTTTGTCTGCAGCTGTATCCCCGAGAAATGCGACACAAGAGCCTGCACAAGTTAGGGCGCATGCTGCTTTGAGGTTGGCATTTGCCCTTAAAAGTAGATAGAATATGGTTTTGGGTATATTATAATAAGATCCCCATATAGCTGGAAAGTCAGGCTTCAGCAAGCGCTACAGGGGCCAAAATAATTGCCAATATCATTTTGAGGTCCATTTGAGGTACCAGTAACTATAATTATACAAGGAATATGGAACCATAATACTGGTAATTATCCCTAAACCCTAAACCCTAAATAGTAGTTTCCAGGTTATTTTCCATTATCCATATTGGTAACTACTTAGGCCCCTACATTAGGTCATTGACAACGAACTGGCAAGTCCAGGGCATTTCTCGGATCGGCTCCAATTCCAGAATGTGGGTCCGTACTTTAACGCCCCATGCATGTGAGCTATAGTCTACACTCCTAGTATCCCCCTTAATACGCTGTATACTACTCTCCTATATAATCCCTTGTTTAACCCCCCTGTAAGGAGTTTAGACCCTGCCTCATATGGGGGGGAAAACTAATAACTTGGAGGTTGCAAACGTCTGGCACAATCATAGCAGAGATAAACAAAATGCGAAATCTCTGCGAACCATGTTTTCTCAACGGTACTTTGCTAGGGGCCCTTTTTAACAAGGACCCCCACAATTTTTCTGGACCCAGCCCTACGAAATACGAACAAAAAATCCAAACCCTCAACCCTCAACCATGAACCCTGAGGTGGGAAGCGCACCGCCATCCCCTTGGACTGCTTCTGACGACGGAGCAGAAGGATCTCCTGAACAATACTACTAGGGTTTAGGGTTCAGATCGTTTTTGTTTAGGCTATTATTAATATTATTAACTACTACTGTCATTACTACTATCATTATGACTACTATTATTCTCATCAACTTATTGGTGCTTAGCAGGGAATATTGGAGTATAGTACTATATGGGGATTATTGATGGAATACAATGGAAACTACTACATTATAGTAGGGTATATATCATAGGAATTATATTCCCTCATTCCCTTCTAACATGACAAACCATTAGTCTACACGTGGACATTTGACGGGTCCTTCTTTGGGGTTTCTATGATCAGGACTATTTCTGTGCGAGCCCTCACTTGCATCCTGAAATAGTGTAGGCTGTGAGTACAAACTGTCAGATAGGGTTCTGGCTCTGTGTATTTTGATGCACATGCTCATTTTCAGGGCTGCATCTAGATCGAGATGACAGGCGGCACCTTCAAAACGGATAGCTGCCAGTACTGTCAAAATCAAGGTTATGAAGGGTTGTCCTTCTGCGGTCCTACTGACACAAACGTAGGAGCTAGCATCTAAATGACATCATAGACTGCCATTACATCCCCTCATGTGAACCCGGCAACTTGCATCGCAGAACGTCTGAAGTGCTCACGCAAAGTACCGCATGCCCTACCAGGAGCACCTGAAGATGAGAATGGGACTAAACAAGAAAAGCATAAAGACCCTGGGTTTACGGTTTAGGGTTCAGGGGTTTCAGCACCGTGGGGACCCATTGGCGGTTCGCAGTGACAGTTGGGCACTGAAGAGCAATGTTTCATAAACTAACGGACGGTAGCAGATAATCCTAGCAACAATCATAGATCCCAATTGGATGTGGTACTTGATCAACATGTCTGTCCCAGAGTGACCATTATGGAAAATGGTTTCGCGCTATTCTCCATATAGACTCAAAGGCTGCTTAAGTAATTTCTCCAAAGGACCTTTAGATCAACTCCCAAACACTGAATCCAAAACCCTCAACCCCCTAAACCCTATATGAGCTATAGTCTAAACTCCTAGTATCCCCCTTAATATCCCCTATAGTAGGGCTAACCCTGTAGAATCCCTTTAATCCCATGAATAGGGACTATTGCCTGTCCTTGACATCCGTCGCTCCAAGCCTGCTCACCGGGCATGATTCTCCAAATCAATAGTCAACTTCAATGGTCTCCATAATGAGGATCTCGCTTCAGGGTTTGGGATCCCTATCATGAGGAATTCGATGTGCAGAGGCGAGACCACCCCGGACTGTCAGAAATGTATGCAGCATCGACTTGATGGTCCATTGGGATTGTAGGACGGTCACAACAAAACACCCGGGCACAAATGCGGTTCACTTCTTCCAGAAGCGAGAAATTTGCCTGACGAAGCTTGCGCCGTGTCTATACTTGGAGGGTCAGGGAGACTTAGTAAGTAGGTTAATAACCCCTATAACCCATATAGTAACCCCATTTATCCCCATTATTAACCTACTTACTATGTCCCCCTGACCCTCCAACCCTAAACCCTAGATAATATAGTAGTTTCCATTTTCTTTTCCATTATTAACCTACTTACTAAGATCCCCCAAATCCTAAACCCTAAACCCTAAACCCTTGACGAAAAACCCAATGACTTAAACTTTGCCACGCTCATCCCCGTAGAAAAAAAGAAAGTACAAGCATCCTTTGGGAGGGCCGCTTGCATAAACCCTAAACCCTAAGGGATGTGGAACCCCAGTAGAAATTATAATTTCAGCTAAATATTGGGGTTCTAGGTAACAGAAATTGAAATGTATTTTTAAGGAACCTTGTAGTAAACCCTAAACCCTAAATCCCTAAACCCTAAATTCCCAAACCCATGCCATCCCCGCCCGTCCCTCCTTCGGAGGTTGGATCCTCCAAAAGGTCCGGGCCTGGAGCCC